TTGTTATTTTTCTTGACAGTATAGGACTTATCTTCTCAGGTGTGATCACTGTAGTTCTCCCACCATCAAAGCACATACAGTCCATTACCATATTTTCTTATGCTCTCCCTTCCCCCACCATGGTTTAATGCCTTCTCCTCTCCCTCACTGCTAGGATGCGCAGATCTATGGTCAGACTTTCAGGTTTATCGTCAACCCTTTGTTTAGTATCTCTGTGTTCCACATACCTTTTTCTCAAGACAAGAGGGATGGATATGAGCAGTCTCTCATTAGAGGAATGCCTTCCCACTGATACTGAATTTAGTATGGCATGTTTTATATATTTATAGCTTAAAACTGGACTTGACCAGAAAGAAAAGCCGTCTGGTATTTCTTTCCCCTTCTGACTTTTTTGTTTAGCATAATAACTTCTAGCTCCATCCATGTCACAAATGGCATGACCTCGCCTCGTATTTTTGATCACTGAGTAGTATTCCATTGTCTATATCTACACTTCTCTTTTATCGGTTCATCTGTTTGGGGGCATTTAGTTTGTTTCCATGTCTTGGCTATTGTAAATACTACTGCAGTAAACACTATTTACAATAGGAAAGATATGGAAACAACCCAAATGCCCAAAAATAGATGACTGGATCAAAAAGATGTGGTATATATACCCAATGGAATATTATTCAGCAATCAAAAATATAAACTCATGTCATTCACAGCAACATGGATGGAGCTGTAAGGGATTATGTTCAGTGAAATAAGCCAGAAGAAAAAGAAAAATACTGGATGGTTTCACTTGTAAAAGGAATGTAAGGGAATCAAGTAAAGTATTAGGGGAAAACATTATAATAAATTTAAAAACAAAATTAACAGGCAACTATAAATCAGAGTCACTCTGCAGGGGAAAGGGAGGGGAGAGGAAGGGATTGAACAGGGGAAAGGCAAACACAAGGGACTATGGTGATAGCACCCTGGTGAACTGGTGATTATAATTCATGGATCAATTATACTGGGACTATGCCTGAGAAGAGAAAGCATACATTGTACCAAAAAAAAAAAGTAAAAAATATACAAAATAAAAAAAAACAAGAGTATTCAAGAGGAAAAGAAGTAGTTACTTCCTCCATTCTTGGGGCGGGGGGTGGGGGGATTATACAGCTGCAATAAACACAAGAGTACAGATTTCCTTTCAAATTCTTGTTTTTGTGTACTTAGGGTAGATACCTAGGAGTGGAATTGTTAGGTTGTATGGCAGATCCACTGTTAGTGTTTTGAGGAAACTCCACATAACTTTCCATAGTAACTGGACCAGTCTACATTTGCACCAACAGTGTAAGAGTGTTCCTTTATCTCTAAGCCCTCACCAGCACTTGGTGTTCCTGTTTAGTTTGTTTCTTTTTGATATGTGCCATTCTCAGTGTGAGATGGTATCTTATTGTGGTTTTGATTTGCATTTCCCTGATGACGATAATGATGATGAATATTTTTTCATATGCCTATTAGCCATCTGCATGTTTTCTTTCTTTGGAGAAATGCCTGTTTGGTTCTTTTGCCCATTTTTTGATTGGGTTGTAAAAAGCATTTAAATATTCTGTATATCTGGTATGTTTTCCAGTAAAGTGGTTTGTTCAACTCTAACACAGCCTTTTTTCCCAAATTTTCTGACCTTGGGACACTTGAATATTCTGCTAAATGGTTTCCATTTTCCATCTCCCAAGGACTCAAGAGCATTGGCAGGTGACTTTCCCAAGTAATGATTTTCCCCAGAGAATACTGCTCATGGCAGCCAGTGACCTGACAAACTTCAGTCCATCCCTTAAGCTTTAGAATTCAGCTGGCATTTTAGAGGTTGCTCAAACATGCTATCGAATTTTTTTTTAAAAAAATCACAATCACAATTCTCATACTTAGTTTTAAGAAGATTAAACTGGTTTTTTGTTTTGTTTTTGAAGAGCACATTTTCTCACAGGGGTAACATCAAAATAGAAGGTCAAGTTATAACCACCAGTTTGTTTGGGGAACATGAGCTGACAAGCAGGAAGAGTTGATGACTTATTCTGAATAGCCTTCAATATCCAGTTATCATGACCTTTGCTTTTGTCTCCTGTGAGAGAGAACTATATGAGTAACTGGACATGGATGATCCTCTGACAGTGTTAGCCATATTTTTTTCTTCTCTGCTTTGCTGGCTCTCAAATTTCCTTTATCTTTTTCAACAAAATAATAGATGCACATATTTCAACAAAGAAAAGCATTTTAAAAATCTTTCTTTGCCCCATCTTTCACTCCTCACCACCCCCCAAGACCCATCTCCACAGAAATCATCTGGCTATTTTTTTTTTTATTAAAAAGTTTATTTTTACATCATTTTTCACATTTTTTTTTTCATCTCAATTGTAATCCCCACGGGTTTCCCATCACCAAATCACCCCTGTGCCACCACCAT